TTGTCTTGCTTTGCGCGAAGTTCGAGGATCATTCGGACGCCTATTTAGGGCCTCCGTACACGCGCAAACATCACACGATTTTACGTACTCGCTACTATGTTTTTCAGGCTCTTTCAATAGAAACGCTGTTTGATTGCCCGGTAGGTTCTATCCATCCTGGATGACATGCCAGTGTATCGTCATGGTATCGCCAAATCACACGCTGTGATTTGGCTACTGGTATTACAGCTGGTGTGTCTACGCCCATACGAATGCGTATAAGTCCGTCTAACATGAAATATTCGTCGTTGTTCTTGCTGGACTCTTTATCGTTTTTTCTGGCGTTCTCCTTGAGTAATTGTTTCATGATGAAAAAAACGGGTCGTCGTTTGGCCACTCTTGTATTCCCCCCCCCTGTAAACGGCCGTTTATCTGACGCGCCGTTTGTTTCAGTTAAGGCAAAAACATTGTCAAGAGTGGACCGCGTATTAACCGACGCTCTCGTTGTCGGTGCGCCCACCAGATTGTCGTCGAGTAACTCTTCGTCAACAGGGGGCCCCGCGGTCGGATAACGTGACAACATGTCCGGTCCTTCGTTGTGTTTCCCGGGTACATGTGTCGTTGTAAAATTCAAATTACCTAAATGTAGCGCCCACCTAGTTAATTTTCCAATTGTTGAACTTTGCTCTGTGTAGCCAAGTCAACGCGGAATTATCTGTAAATAATTCGAACGGAGAATACTCTAAGTACGGGCGAAATTTATCAGTCGCCCATATAATTGCTAAGCATTCTCGTTCTACGGCGGCGTAACGTTTCTGCGTTTCTGAAAGTTTCTTACTGGCGTAGGATATAATTCTTCTCTCTCCCGGTTCATCTCCGTGTTAAAAGAGTATTGCTCCCACGCCCATTTCACTCGCATCGGTTTGAAGGCAGAAAGTTTTCGCGTAATCAGGAGGGCTCAGTCGTGAAGACTCACACAGGGCCTTTTTTACCTGTTCAAAAGCCCTTTGATGGTCTTCCGTCCACAACTATTTCGTTCCCCATTTTAGTAGATTTGTCAGCGGCGCTATTGTTTCGGCGTAGTTGTCGTCGAATTAACAATACCAATTAAATATATCGAGACATCTACGTAGATCCCTGATATTCCGTGGGACCAATAGGACGCGGATGGCTCAAGTTTTTCGGGCTGCTTGTCTATGCCCTTACCGTGTACAATATGGCCAAAAAAAGGAAATTTTGGAAAACCCTATTTTACACTTTTTTGTGTGACATGTCAGCCCGTATCGCTCTAATCATTCTAGAACTTTGCCTAAATGTTCTAAATGCTTTTCTAAACTACTTGAATAAATAATTATGTCGTCCAAGTAAACTTGGACAAAATCGTCTAGATATCCTTTAAGTACTTCATTCATAAGTCTTACAAAAGTCATAGGCGAATTTTTGAGTCCAAATGGTAGTACACGAAATTGAAATAAGCCCCTTCTTGTTCTAAATGCCGTAAACTTAAGGGTTTTTTTATTTAAAGAGCATTGCCAATAAGCCGACTTTAAGTCAAGAGTCGTGTACATTTTTGCCCCTCTCATGTTCCTAACCATGTCGTTTAGATTAGGCATGGGGTACGCCTCCGAAACGGTCACTTCGTTTAGTCGTCGATAATCTATACATAAACGAAAAGTCCCGTCCTTCTTCTTGGCTAGCACGATCGGTGCTGACCGCGGCGATACACTCGATTCTATTAGCCCTTGCACCTCCATGTCGTTTATCATATCGTCAATAATCCCCTGCTTGTGCAGGGGGTAGGGGTACGGTTTTAGTGCGATAGGAGTCGGGTCTTTCAATAGAATATTGTGCTCGATTAATTTTGTGCGACCACCGTGTCGTTAAAGATCGCTGCGTAATTACATATCGTCTGTGTTAATAACGCGCGCGTTCGTGGGTCGCCGATTATATCTAACTGCGTCAGATCTGGTTTGAGGATCATGTGTCGTGCGCCCGATTTCCAACAAGCGGTTGTACGTTTCTTAGTGCTTAAGTGTATTGTTCCTGCTAAGTAATCCCAGGCGACTTTCTGATCAATCAGAAAATCATGCCCAAGTATTACATCGCAATACAGGTCGTCTAAAATAACCGCTGAAAAACGCACTTCTAAATCCGCGATTTTGCCGTTCGTCGTGGCGGTGTGCCCGTCCGCTTGTCTAACCGCGTCGGTGTGTCCTTTATAAACAGTTCCGTACTTATCAGCAATTACCGTTTTTAAATACGATTTATGCGCCTGTGAGTCGAGTAAAGCTGTGACGAAGCCAGTTTCGAATTCTAACTCGACTGCTGGAGTAGTAATTCTACGCGGGCATTTTCGTTGGCCATTACTCAGGTGGTTTACGGTTCGAACAGGGGCAGCTGGTTCTTAACCACGACGTCGGTTTGCCCACTGATAGCGTTAACTACCATTAGTGGACGTGCCGGAACGACTGATACCCCCTCCTCAACTGTGCCCGAAAAAATGTCGAACACTTGACTCGCGCTTTGGTCGTTCGTATCGGCAGCGTGTTTGAACTCCGATACCCTTTTTTTTTTTTTAAACGACCGGCATTATTGTGGACCGCCCTGGAACTGCCGTGAGGCATTACTTCAGTGCGGCCCACGTCGTCTTGATAATTCACACCACCACGTTGCGAATCAGCCCGAAATTAATCAAGAGCTAATTCGCAACGTGGTGTGGCCCCCTTCCGTTAACCGGATCCCAGAGTGGGAACCGTTAGGGAGGACTGCCAAAATAACTCACAAGACACATAAAATTACACAAAAATAAGAACCTAAGACATTGGCCTTAACCAGCGCCTCAGGTCCACCTGTGCCGGGCGGCGTGGCTGCCTCTGTCTCAGGCGTTCTGCTTCCTCCTTCTTTGATAACACGGATTCAACAAACGCCTGGACGAGCCTCCATGCCTCCCGACTCCTTAACATCAGGTCCACAATGGACCCGACTCGGAACGTGGACCCTAGATGAGACTCCAAAGAGTCCCGCTCCTGTGCCCACGCCTTGCACCGGAAGAGGGTGTGCAGACTCTCCCGGGCGATCCGAACAGTGGTCGCACGTCGGCGCGGCTGCTATACGAATACGGTGTAAGTACTCGTTAAAGCAGCCATGGCCGGACATCNGGCTGCTTTACGAATACGGTGTAAGTACTCGTTAAAGCAGCCGTGGCCGGACATCACTTGGGTGAGACGATAAGTCATCTCACCGTGAGTCCGGTCCACCCACCTGTCCAGCCGATCGGGTCCTATGAGGGACCTGGTCCACTCGCCTCTCGTTTCCTCCGAGAGGCGAGTCCGCCACCGGAGCATGGTCATCCGCCTGAGCGCTAGCCGGTCCTCGGGTTCGAGGGACCGGTTTCGCTCTCGGCGGAGCTCATGCCCGGCGGCGCGTTCCTCGGCGAGCAGGTCGGCGGGCGGCAGTGACGACAGGATACCCGCCGCCACTCCGGACACCGTTCGGTAACCCGAAACTGTCCGGATCGCCGCCCGCCTCTGCACCCTGAGCAGGGCTTCACGGTTTTTGGACGAATACTCAAGAGTATCCGCCCAAACCGGGGACCCGTACAGGAGGACCGAGTGTACAACGCTGACTAAAAGTCTGCGTCGCATCTCTCTCGGCCCTCTCAGATTGGGCATGAGTCCCGCCAGGCAATTCATGACTTTCTGGGCCCGCTGGGCCGCACGAGTAATGACCATGCTCCGGTGGCGTACTCTCCTTTAATGCTCAAAAACCTAACCTCTTTTCTAAAGCTATAAATATAAATTTAAAAATCTTTTACTATAAAATGATAAAATATGACTTAAGATTTTTCACACGTAGCCGACCGACCATATGTCAATTACAATTTTAACATCTCTAAAGAATATATTTTAAGGTAGATAAAGTACCTAGTTATGCGTAACTTTTTCAAAAATGAACATATCAATATAATTTTTTTTTATATAGATGCTTGATGTCTTAGTTATCATTTGGTATATTTTTTTTGTAAATTTGACCCTTTATCTGCACACAAGAAGGGATTTAACATGACAACTTTTTCACAAAAAATTAACTTTTTCAACTTAACTTTTGAAAATGTTCCGGAAGGTATGACACTTTAATATATATATATATATTATATTAAAGCTAATGTAATAAACTTTAATTTGAAAAAAAAAATCGAATGCTATTTTTGTGTGAACATTTTCGATTTTATTTTTTACATTTTTAACTTTATAATGCTATAACTTATTGAAAAGTTTATGGATCAACACAATTTTTCTATGAGAAATACTATTTTTTAATAATCCCTTTTTCATTTGACATACTTTATCTTAATCAGGATATTAATAAGGAACTAGCAGATTATGTAGCTTTTGGAATAATTCACCAATTTTTTAAAATTAAACACTATCTAAAGATTTGCATCGAAGCGTTTTATTTTGATAGTGATTTTAATCACTGTCAGATATTATTATACTTGATCCAACTATGCCACGTCACCACTGTGCCGTGACCCCCCTGTGCTGGGTTTTTTATTAATGCTCATTTTTAAATTTATTACCTTGCTTCATCAAACATTATACTAAAAGTCTGTGTACTACTGTCTTCTATAATTGAATCTCTTATTCTATTTTCACATATTTAAATTATTTAATTTTGAATATGATGACTAGTGTGATTTGTTTCTTTGTTAAATATTTCAGAAAGCTTAGGTATACGCTTGGAAAATAAAACACAAGTTTCGTTGTAATTTCCCAAGAAAAATTATTTATTAAGAAATTAATAATTATATCTTCTCAGTTTTAATTACTTATTATTAGGTGATTATATTACTTAAATTAGTTCCCTACATTGATTTAATGATGAATTATTTTTATTGTGTCGGGCCATTCTTTGGATACTCGATAAATTGTTATGTTAATTAGACTTTTCATATATTCCCTATAAGCATCAACTTCTAGTTTAGATTGAATTATTAACTGGGTATGAACAGTGTCAGTTTTTTAACAATTATTTATGAGTTTTTGTACTAGAATGAGCTTTGTTAGTTTTCCATTTTTAAGACCTCTAGATTCACATAACTAATAAATATAAAAAACAAATAATTAAAGTTAATTTTTGAATAATAATTATGCCATACACAAAAATATTCAACCTAATATAATGAAGGATTAAAGTCATGGTTTTGTTAATGGAATTAGCTAAATATAATTCATTAGCTATTAATAATAGGCTAAATAACAATTAAAATAAGTATTTAATGTACAATATAAATACTATGCTGTTAGTTTTATACATGATTTACCTCTAATATGGATCGTTTTGGACCAGACTGTAAATCACCTAAATCAAATTTCGAGTTGCCTGTAGATGATGTAATATGGTTTTTAATCATTTCTTACTTGATTAGAGTCACCGCTGTTTCAGGATTTTTTGGATTAAAGATAATAAATAATTTTGAATTCGTTATTTTATTAATAAATTAATATAAAAGTAAAAAGTTAACAGTTCAGCTACAATACAGATTTATTTCTCAATTAACAATGATAACGAGCAGATAGTATTCCACAGCTAAATATAGAATTTGTTGAAATAGTGAACATGATATTATTAAAGTCAATATATTGCACAGGCCAAAGAATGTTAACATTAGCATTCTCTATGTTACTTTTACCACAGATTATATAAATGAATATACTATTAATATTTTATACCATATATATTCTGATATTTTGAAATGGTAAATCCGTTTAACAATGATTTAACAAAACAGTTATATTTGACTACTTATGCTAGTAGACGAATATTCAGTATTCACCTTATGTGCGGCAATTAGACAAATAATTGGAACCAAGCTTAACATATAATTTTTTTAAATAAAATATGTATTTTGGTACACATATAAAATTAGTCTAAAAAGGCATTTAAACGCGCGCGTACTAATTTTTTAAAAATACGGGCATTAATCGCTCTATATAAAACACCCCCGCATTTAAATTGAACCATGTTTAACACGACTAAAAATATTTGAAGAAGAACAAAAGAAAATTGATGGCCTAGTTTTAACACTAAAGTAATTACGGTACGGGATTAGAACCCGCGACCCAAGGCGTCGTAAAGACAAATCTTACCACTAGGCCACCGTGCACTTATGATTCAGATCCCGATACACTTTCATATAGGTTGATAACGTGATGTGCGCCCTCACTGTGGGGCATGTAGCGGTCAGTCCCTCCCATCTACCATAGTACCCCCGTGTGCGGCTTGGGGGGGGGAGTATGACACGGTACCGTGTTTCCCTCAGCCGCACATCACGTTATCAACCTATATGAAAGTGTATCGGGATCTGAATCATAAGTGCACGGTGGCCTAGTGGTAAGGTTTGTCTATACGACGCCTTGGATCGCGGGTTCTAATCCCGTACCGTGCCTCTTTTTTTCACATGATTTCCGGTACACTTTCTATAACCGGCCGTCAATCCCCGGTGGCCGTGTTAACTTTACTACTGGAAAAGCGCAGAAAAATTATGTAGAGTTCTATTTTTTTACAATATTTATTTTCTTCTACTTATATTTTTGTATATTATTATAAAAATAAAACTTAATTCAGGGGTGAATTAGAATTTAAAATTATATCCTATTGTGGAAATGAAAGCAGCCATTGAAAACAAAAATTAAATAAATTTACTGTAACTATAAATTTAAAAACTAAAATAGGTAATAAATATTTGAAAATCTACTTAAAATTAATTAAATATTTCTAGTAATTTTTTTAATTGAATATAAACCTCAATGTTACAAATAAAAGTAACATTATTACTTTATACCTAACCTGAAGTTAGTTTTAAATTTGATTTAAAAATTATTAGTTATAACTTATGTCATTTAGTTATATTGAGTGTTGGTATAAAAGTATGATATAAATGAGGTAATTTACGAGCGCACTGAACGACTAAGTAAACCACTGAACATGGTGGGGTGTGTCGTAACACAGGAAAGAAAAACAATGGTGTAAGTGTGAATGTGTGTACGAAGATGAATATGAGGAGGTGGTGCCTGCTGTCTAGGTATTCACGTGCGTGTTGTCGTACAGCAGTCACCGTGCTCGGCTGACACTCCGGGTTAGCTGTGGGTGTCGAAAGGCTGTTGTTATAGGAAGGGAGAATAAGAGTAACACCTAGGTATGAGGTGCAGACGAAGTGCAAGACACAAGTACTCTGAAATGTCGAGGAAAAGAGTATATAGGTTAGAAAAGGAATAAACAAAGACTTTACTTTAAACAGTAAGCCGGACAGCGACAACCGAGTACTGAGACTGATGAATGACACAAGGCACTGGAGTCGACTGACGACGATGGTCAGGTCTATTGGGTTTTTATAATAATTACACCTATTGCCGATTTGGCAATAAATATTATTTGTTAATTCATCAGTCTCAGGCAGCGGATGTGCTGTCTGTATTTTATTAAAATAATTCTCACGATTATGAAAACGTGACACCATCACATCCACCCATGTCTTTTTGGTGCCACGTCCCCGTGGTAATAAACAATTAAAATGAACAAATAAATGAATATTTTATGAGAACAAAATAATTTAACTTAACTAATTTAATTTACATTTTTTTTTTTTTTTACTTCTTGTTCCTTTGATTTTCTGGCTCTTCTACATTTGGTGGTTTTCTCTCGTTTCAGTATATTCTTGTTGATTTCCCAATCAATACGCTTTCTGATTGCTGGAATGTCTTGCTGCGTGTAATTTAGTGGAAGGCCGCTTGCGATTCTCTTTGCGGTTTCACAGGTGAAAACACCACAATCATACCCATTCAATTGTGATGGACTACAGACAAGTCTAACCGTCCATGTGAATGGTAAGGTGCTGCCCATTGATTTTGTGTATTCTTGTTGGGTGTACTGGTGCAATGAAGACAGGCAGATATCGTCTGGTTCATTGAAGCTGTCATAAAGCGTAATTGACGTAGTCGCAGGCTCTATTACGATTAGTTTCCAGTGGTTTATACTGTGTATTGGTATTAGTACTTTACCAGCTCTAAAAATATTTATGTTTTTTGTCCATCTTCTAATCCGTTCATCTGCTCCAGTAGCAATTGCTTGGTAGAAAAATGTATCGAGTATGGAAATATTTTTATAAGTGTTTTTGATGAGCCTGAAGTATTTATTAATTTTTATATCATTATACCAATTTGTGTCTGTCTTTGTAGGACCGATGAACAGTTTTGATGCTTTTAGGTTTACACTTTTTTCGTATTTTGACCAATCCACTTCTCCATTAACCCATAGGTCATCAAGGGTCTCGATGTGTGGCGGTGTATCGCCTAAGGGTTGGATAGGAGACCTCAACAAGTTTTTGGTCCATTTTTCAAAAGATTCCATCTCGGACTAGGTTGGCGTTACACTACTAACTGTGAAGTTGTTGTCGTATTGTAATTTAGCCGGCGAGAACCATATATTGTATGAGCAGATGCTGATGTGGCCTGTGCAGTAAAGGAAGTGGAGTTGAACGAGAGACAGAAAATTTTATGGAACGGAGAAAAAAAAAAATAAAAGTGCTTATGCCGTTATTTTTCGTCTTCTCCGATAGACGGACCATCTAAGTGGTGGTCTGGGAGGTGACGTGTTTTGCTTAATTTTTTTATATATTATGATTGACATGATTTGATATAGGCTGCCGTGTCTTTCGAAAGAGAAGGCCAATAATATTTTTGCTGTAGCTTATGTATAGTCCGTGATATACCTGCGTGTCCTGACGTTGGACTTTCGTGGTATGCTTTTAATATTCTAGTAGTAACTTCTTTGGGTACTACCAGTAAGTTATAGTTGCCTATATTTTGATTATATGATTTAAAGTATAATACGTTACATATTATGGTGAATTTCCGTGATAGTCTATTTGTTTTCTTATCTGATTCTTTGCCTTCTAAAGCGTTTCGAATTGATAAGCAAAAAGGGTCTTTTTGTTGCTTTTCTGCAATAGAAAATTCTTTCTCTTCTGTGGCTGATAACTCTTGAATGTTGCCAATACATTGAACTTGAACATTCGGTTCGTGACCACTCTCATATCCGAATATTGCTGAGTCTATTATGTGTTCTAAAGAGTATCTGGATAGTGCATCCGCCACTACATTATCTCGCCCTCTAGTAAATACTATTTTGAAGTCGTAATCCCAAAGTTTGATAATTAAGCGAGATATGCGGGCTGACGGATTTTTTAAGCTGCGGTAATATTTTAAGCTAATGTTATCACTATATACCGTAAAATGTCTGGCGTAAAGGTACTCTCTGAAGAATTCGATAGCAAAGGTCAGACCTAGAAGTTCTAACGTAGTAGAGCTGTAGGTTTTTTCTGATTCTAACAGCTTCCGAGAGGCATAACCTATGACTCTTGAAATGTTGTTTTCGTCTGTCTGTTCTAGCACTCCACCTAACCCTCGAATACTTGCGTCAACGGTCAAGCTCGTTGGTCTATCATCGTTAAAGTGTGCTAAAATAGGTTTTGATGTTAATAAGGTTTTCAGTTGTCCAAACGCTTCAGTATGTTCTTGTTGCCAGTTAATTTTCTCGTATTTTTTTGTTTTTGTTAACTCTGTAAGGCAATTAGCGATCTGTGCGAACGATTTTATATGTCTACGGTAAAATGAACAAAGTCCTAAAAAGCTTCTAACGTCTTTAACCGTTTTGGGGCGGGGAAAGTCCGTTATGGCTCTTATGTTGCGGTCCAACGGTGTTATGCCGTCGCGTGTTATCCGAAAGCCTAATAGGTCTATTTTATCAGAGAATAAAATACATTTATTTGTTTTTATTTTGAGTCCGATTTTGTCAAGAATTTTAAATACTTTTTCGAGATTTTCCAAGGCTTCTGGAAAACTCTTTCCGAAGCATGCTAGGTCATCTATATAGATCACAAGTGATTTATATAACAGTTCTGAGAAAGCATTGTTGACTATTCTGCTGAATATTGCTGATGAGTTGCGAAAACCCATTGGTAATCGGCAAAACGTCATTAAGCCACACGCACTGGTGAATGAAAGTAAATGTTGACACTCTTCTTTAATAGGAATTTGAAAAAAACTATTATTAAGACCTAGATTTGAGAAGAATTGTGAGTTTTCTAGCNTAGACTTGAGAAGAATTGTGAGTTTTCTAGTGCTCTGAACAAATCTTGAGATCGTGGAAGTGGATAATTGTCAGGTTCAACTCTTTCGTTTAAGTCTTTGTAGTCTATTACTAGACGATGTTGATCTTTTTCTTTCTTTTTGACGAGAAAAGCGTTTGCTGCATATTTTGACATGGCGTGTTTAATTATTCCTACGTCAAGTAATTTATCTAATTCTTTTTTCAAAATGTCTCTTTGAGCAGGGGATACTCTATGTGGAGCATTAAATTTTGGTTCTTTTACGTTTTCCTTTAGTTTTATTTCACATGGCGGTACTTTTGCTGGCTCTAATCTAGATGCGTCCGTAGAAAATACGTGTAAGTATTTTTTCACTAGGTCAACTACTTTAGCGTGTTGTTCTTGGGATAAATGTGATGATATCTTAATAGGCGTGTTGTCATTGTCGGTTAATTGCTCTTTAATTGTTTCGTTATGCATAGCTGTGTGAACAGTTGACAATGATGTTGCTTTGTCTTGTATCATCGTTTCTGTATTTGGGTGGCCGTGGCTCGTGGCGTTAGCTACTCCGATTTCATTGATAATTGCATTATTGTTTTTTATGCACTGTTTACTCTGCTCCACGTGGAGCTGTACTGACTGAATAATTTTTTTTAATGGTAGAAATTCGTTTATCTCTACTATATGCTGCAGTATGTACTTTGATGTTTTTGTAGTCGGCTTGCCGGGCCGCCAATGAGTACCATTATTTACATGATATAGTACCGCAAAATTTCGATCACCCGTTCCGTACATTACTCCGTATTTATGTTTTTCAGAATAAATGTACGTGTCCATTGAATAGTGATTTAATATGCTGGCAATTTCTTCATCTGAAAACCAATAGCCTGGGACGTCTTTTATTTTTAATAACACCAATAAATCACAAAGTGTGATTTTCTTTTGTTTAGATGAGCTAATTGCATTGCAAATTGCATGCAATGCGCAATTGTTGTCTTCCGCAACATTTTCGCCCATTTGATATTTTTCGAAGACCTCCCGTAGTTTTGCTAAACGTGTGTTGTCAGCAAATTTATTCTGTGCGGCTATTTGTGTTGTGAGTGTAGAAATAACGTTCTTACTGTTCACGTTATTTGTATTGTTTTTTTTTATTGCGACTTGGTCGGCGTTGTATATTTTCGTAGTTATAATATTTTTTATAATCATCAAATTTGAATTAAAGTTAATATGAGCCTTATTATTGAATAGAAATCTGTTTCCCAATATGAGCGAACTTATTAAGTTATTTACAACATAGACGTCTACATCAAACTGCTCGTTCTCAATGACGATTTGAATAATAGTTTTTCCTATTAAATCCAAGGGCTTGTTATCTGCTCCGGTTATTAGCATATTTTCAACCTTTTTAATGTTGTATCCTTTAGCTAATTCCGTGTTTAATATATTTAGATTTGCCCCGGTATCTATAGTGACTGTTATTTCTGCTTGGTTTAATGTGGCTATGATGTACAATGCTTTTGCGCTAGAATATTGACTTGTCGATTGTACGTACTCAATCTTATTGCTTCTATTAACTTTATTTATAATATTTTTTGATTGATGAGATTCTATTTTTGATTTTGCTAAGGTTAAAGGTGAACGTATGTCCTTAGCGTGAGCGTTTAACCTAAAAGCTAGTTTTTTGGAGNTTTTTGATTTTGCTAAGGTTAAAGGTGAACGTATGTCCTTAGCGTGAGCGTTTAACCTAAAAGCTAGTTTTTTGAGTTGCAATTTTTTGCTGTGTGATTTTGGCTCTGGCATAATTGACACTTTGTGTCATCTGCTTCCTTTTTTCTGGATCTGCAGACACTTGCTTCGTGGCCGTATTTTTCACAAATTTGGCATTGAACTATTAATTTTTTGTTACGGAAACAATTCTCAGTAATGTGGTTAGTCCTGTGGCAAATATCACATTTTCTGTTTTTGCCGGACGTGTTACCATTAAATTTCTTTACTGTATTAGTCCGTGATTTTTGAAAATCTAAAAGCTCTTTGACTTGCCTTTTTAATTGCTCTAGCTCATTTTCTTGTTTTTTGTTTGACATGTGTTGGATTTGCTCCTTAAGAATGTCTGTTCTAATTTCTGAACTAGACTTACTTTTATCGCCTTCTATGAAAAATTCTGTAGTCTCCCATTTTCTTATGTTCTTTTTTAGACTGTCCTAGGTGTCATTTTCCAGCATCGAAACCATTCTTAAAATGTCGGGGCGTAATCCCTTCATAATAAGATGTACTTTTTCTTTTTGTGACATGTCTTTATTTATACGTAAGCGTAAAGCTTCAGCTTCATTTAAATAGNCATAAAGCTTCAGCTTCATTTAAATAAGAGCTTACGGATTCGTCCGGTTGTTGATGGCGTTTTTGTAATATCATTCTTATCATGTCTGTTTGAGCTGTTGGCTCAAATTCTAACCTTATTTTATACTCTAGATCTTCCCACTTGATTTGGCCGACGGTGTTTTCTTCTAGATTTTCATAGAAGTGTAAAGCCGTACCTTCTAAGAAAGCTGGTAAAAACTGAACTTTTTCTTCGTCGTTCCATTCATTTATAATGCTGGTGCTCTTGTATCGCTTAAGAAACAGGTCTACACTTTCGTGAACTTTTCCTCTAAATNCTACACTTTCGTGAACTTCTCCTCTAAACTGACCTGGCTTAAAGAATGGCTTTCTACGGTTCTTGATGTCATTATTAGCCATGTATTCTTCCTTGGCCATCAAGTGTAGATAAGTTGGCATAATAATAATTTTTTCTTATACTATAACAACAACCCTAACGTAATATATACGTTACCTTTGTTGGGCGCGACTCTGTCGTAACACAGGAAAGAAAATGATAAAAGGTAAAAAAGGTAAATGTGTAACTGTGTGTACGAAGATGAATATGAGGAGGTGGTGCCTGCTGTCTAGGTATTCACGTGCGTGTTGTCGTACAGCAGTCACCGTGCTCGGCTGACACTCCGGGTTAGCTGTGGGTGTCGAAAGGCTGTTGTTATAGGAAGGGAGAATAAGAGTAACACCTAGGTATGAGGTGCAGACGAAGTGCAAGACACAAATACTAGGCGTATCAGGTGAGGAAAGATAACAGAGTACGAGGTGCAGACGAAGTGCAAGACACAAGTACTCTGAAATGTCGAGGAAAAGAGTATATAGGTTAGAAAAGGAATAAACAAAGACTTTACTTTAAACAGTAAGCCGGACAGCGACAACCGAGTACTGAGACTGATGAATGACACAAGGCACTGGAGTCGACTGACCACGATGGTCAGGTCTATTGGGTTTTTATAATAATTACACTTATTGCCGATTTGGCAATAAATATTATTTGTTAAATCATCAGTCTCAGGCAGCGGATGTGCTGTCTGTATTTTATTAAAATAATTCTCACGATTATGAAAACGTGACACCATCACAGCTAATTGGATTTGTGTGGGTTATGATAAAAAAATCACCCTGTATATATTTATATATGTATGTATATTATGTTAATATACTCAACAATATTTAAAATAAAAATTTAAAAATTAAAAAACATTTTTCTGATTTGGAGCATTTATTTTTTTGCTTGTTTATGATTTACAATTGTTTATTCAAATGCTTATAATGACACTTTAAACGCTTATTCTAATAATTATATAGTGTTATAAATCCTGAACACAATGATTTTTATTACTGAAAGTGTACACAATAATCAACAAAAAAATAACTAATGCAAAATAATATTTAATTACTTTTAAAAATTTATTTTCCTTATAAAATATCTAAATTTTCCATTATTCAATTAGATTATTGTTATTAACTACTGATCTATTAAACAGCTTCATTCCATATTCATTGCTTATTAACATTAGGTCTACAAGAGAATTATTGTAAAATATTTTTTTCAATATAAAAATCCGATTCTCTGTATCTTAATTATTGAGAACCGTAATACTAATTTTTAAAAAAACCCAGCACAGAGGTGTCGCGGCACAATGGTGACGTGGCATTGTTGGGTCAATTATAATGATATCTGACAGTGATAAAAATCACTATCATAAAAAACGCTTCGATGCAAATCTTTAGATAGTGTTTTATTTAAAAAAAATGGTGGATTATTCTAAAAACTAATTGATCTGCTATTTCCTTAATTATATTCTGATTAAAATAACGTACGTCGAATGAATAGTGATATAAATATGGTTTCTCATAAAAAAATTGTGTTGATCCATACACTTTTCAATAAGTTATAGCATTATAGAGTTAAAAATTAAAAAAATAAAATCGAGAATTTTCACACAATAATAGCATTTGGTAACTATTTTCACCGTGAAGACAAAATAAAGTCCGAAATATTTTTTTTTAATATCAAAGTATATTTTTCATAAGCTTTAATTTAAGATATATATATATATAAGTGTCAGTATTTCCGGAACACTTTCAAAAATTAAGTTGAAAGAGTTCTACTTTCTATATGCATATTTATGTTTTGAACCCCTCTGTATTAAGGGAAATAGTCCGATTAAAAAAAACAGTATGTCAAATGAAAGATGTATATAAATACTACTTCTACTAAAAAAATTGTAATGATCCATACATTTTTAAGAAGTTATAGCATTTTAAAATAAAAAATATAAAATATAAAATGAAATTTTTCACACAAAAATAGCATTCGGTAGCCATTTTCACCTTGAAGACAAAATAAAATCCGAAATTTTATTTTTCCATAATAAAGTATATTACAATAACTTTAATTTAAGATATATATAAGAGTGTCAGTATTTTCGGAACACTTTCAAAAGTTAAGTTGAAAAAGTTAATTTTTTGTGAAAAAGTTGTCATATTGAATCCCCTACTGTGGGCTGGTAAAGGGTTAAATTTATAAAAAAAATATACCAAATGATAGGTAAACACATTAAGCATCTATAAAAAAAAATTATATTGATATGTTCATTTTTGAAAAAGTTATGGCAGTTTTAGGTAAAAAAAATTTCAAAAATTTCAAAAATTAGCGATTTTTTAAATTTGTAATTTTTTTGTATATTTCCCCCATTTACGCGGAACGAGGAAAATTTTTTCAATTTTTGAGGGTAATGTCTTCGATTAAATACAATTTGTGATCTTTTGACGTATCATTGAAAGAAATCGGTTCTGTGAGAGCTAAGAAAAAGTGGTAACAGACACAAAAAAAAAAACACATCATAGTAAAATTAATACCTTCTCAGCTTCGCATCGAAGCTGAAATACATAATTATATTACATTATGTTCATGTTCTATTACTTATTGAAGCGCCATAACTTGGCTGGACAGAGTATTAGCATAATAAATTTGTAATCGAAGTTTAAATTAACCATATGTATTTCCCACAGTGTTCCCGAGTCGAAATTTAACACATCAATAGCATCTCAAAGTTTTCAGAAATTGAGACGTTTGATGCGCTAGTGATAGTCTTAAAAGTACCTCGCTCAATGGTATTTAGCACATCAATAACACTTCCAAATTGCAGTTATTCGGGATTGTCCAGGTTAGATGCGTTTTTGACAGCCTAAACTTGAGGACTTTGAAATGCTGTTGATGCGCTATTCTTAAAAATTAGCATTTCACTAGCGTTTTTAAAAAACATCACAAATAATAATAATAATTATATGAATGTAAATAATAAAAAGTACATTAGTTGTCCCATAAACAGCACGGAATTAGAATAAATATAAATATTTAAGATAAAGAAGAATAATTATTTATTAGTTAAATAAATTTCTGAAAATACGCATACATACCTCATACATATCCTAATTATAATCGAAATTCATAAACATACTGTAAAAACTTGATAAAATAAATGTAAACTTTTATTAAATAAATAAATATTTTTCACTTTATTTTAGAAATAAATATTATTTTTATTAGGTTTTTAGAAAAGTTATTTTATAAGTATTGAAAACTTTGATGTGTTAATATAATGCTAACTCGATTTTAAAATTTTTATGATTTTGATAAGTTTTTGAAACGTTATTTTACAGTAAAGTTGAAAATTACAAATTTGATGTGTTATTGATGTGCTTAATTTTTGGTATTTTATCCATTTTGGGACACTAAGCTGTTAGTGATGACCTCTTAAACGCTACTGATGGGATAAAATTGTCCTACTCGAAAGAAAACAATAGAATTGACAATCTAGATGTGCTACTGATGCGTTAAATTTCGACTCAGTTCTCTCCACTTTTCGACTAGCCAGTCTGATCTCAGCTGTTCTCCGAAAAGGATAGCGCGGGCAAGCGAAGTGTAAGATACTAGTATAATCCATTGTGCAAAGAACTTAAATTGAATTATCCACTCCGTGGACGACTGAAAAGACTGGAAATAGTTTATTGCATAGGACAGTTATGTTGTTTAAAATTTCTTTATTGATTTTATAAATTATTAAATTATAAATACATTAGTATAAAACACCACACACAAGGTTAAAGAACATACCACATAAATATAAAAAAAGTTTCACATTAAATACCGAAAGTATAATAAATTTAAGTTTCACCTTGAATAGATTTAATATAGAGTTGTACTAAAGAAATAGTTACAAGCACGTTAATAATAACATAATTCGTATAATTTCAAATGAGTACACCGACGCATATCCGATACATATCGCTAACAGTGACATCAACTACATGATTCAACTAAACAGAATATTTGTCTTATCTGGATAATAAGATTATAATAATAATAAGGTATTTGTGACTCGCCAGAAATTCGTGTACAAATTTTTGTGCAAGAGTTAGATAGTTAGATAGAAATATTTCGTTGATATTTCATTTTATTAATAAATATCATGTAGATATACATACCTCGAGATCCCTTTCTATTTTATTCTATTATTGTCGCTGTCCAGTATTTCTAGCCACTCTTACTTTTCTTAATACTAAACCATCGCCGCCATTACTTTTATTTATCACAAAACCTCGAATCTCCCTTTGTACTTTCCGGCAACCGTTTACCACACCCTACCAATAGTTTCCATTTTCTTTTTGTTTATTATATTTCTGTTTAACATAAATTAGGTTATATATAGTAAAATAAATACGTATTCTTACTTCATTAATAGTTAAATCTAATGTACATTCTGAATTACTATAGACTGATATAATACAGTCGAACTTGGTTAACTCGAAGTTGAAAGGACCGGAGTAAAAGTTCGAGTTATCCAAGAANCTCGAAGTTGAAAGGACCAGAGTAAAAGTTCGAGTTATCCAAAAAAAAATTTTAAAACAGTACTGTATGTCTGTATATTAATTCCTGTGTTTATTATAAATAAAATATGAAATGTGCAATAAAAATTAGTATGTATGTATATGTAATTTTAAAAAGGTAGGTAATGTATGTACATATAAACAAAAATGAGGTTAAAAAATTATTTAAAAAAGGTATTTATTTTTGTTTGAGTTTGGCTGTTGATTGCAGCGTTTGTAGTGAATCGTTCTATTTTATTCAAAGCTTCGAAAAGTTCATCACTGACCTCTCCTTTGTTTTCGATAAATCGCCTTAATTCATTAATATGCATCCGTGCTTGTATACTCGTGGGAATGGGGGGTTCGTTACATTCTTGTTCCTCTTCTTCATCCGATGATTGTGTACATCTTACAGTTAATTGTATAATGTCTGAATCTGATAAATGTCCGCATACTTCTTACTTGTAAGTCGTCATCCATGTTGATGTAGTCATCAAAATTAATATTTACACCTTGCCTCACATCGTCCCATACATTTATTGTAATCGTTTGTTGAATTTCTTCATTGCCGACATTTTCTGAATTTCCGCTTAAAAAACCAGCTTTACGGAAACAGTTTGCAATGGTTTCTGATGTTACTTGTTCCCAAGCATTTTTGGACATTCGATTTGCTTGTAAAATATCAATTTTACCACCATCCTGTAGCAAGTTCAGTACTAGTAGAGTACGGTAATGGTGCTTGAAATTTTTAATAATTCCTTGGTCCATTGGCTGAACCACAGATGTCATATTGGGAGGAAAAAACAAAACTTCGAGATTACCCATTGTAGGAATGTACATGTAGTTATGCGCAGTGCAATTGTCAATAAACAACATCACTTTTCTGTTTTGTTTACAAAATATTTTATCAATTTTCAGTAGCCAATTTTTAAAAATTTCGCCTGTCATCCAAGCTTTTTTATTCGCTTGATATTCAACTGGTTTCGATTTAAATTTTTAAAGCACCTAGGATTTGATGATTTTCCTATCATCAACAATGGCAATTTTTCTGACCCGTCCATGTTAGCTCCGACTAACAGTGTTACGCGTTCTTTACTTTGTTTGCCACCACTGCACCGTTCACCTTTAAAAGCTAGTGTTTTGTCTGGGGTACACCTGTAAAATAAGCCTGTTTCGTCTGCATTGAAAATGTCTTTGGGATTTTTGCTTTTTATCATTTGTAACAATTTTATTTTCCAATCATCAGCTCTTGAACATTTACATCACCACTTTCACCACTTACGGTTTTAAAAAAACCCAGCACAGGGGGGTCGCAGCACAGTGGTGACGTGGTATAGATGGATCAAGTATAATGATATCTGACAGTGATTAAAATCACTATCAAAAATAAACGCTTCGATGCAAATCTTTAGATAGTGTTTAATTTAAAAAAATATGGTGTTTTATTCCAAAAGCTACTTGATCTGCTGGTTCCTTAATATCTCGATTAAGATAAAGTATGTCGAATGAAAAAGGGTTTATTAAAAAATATTATTTCTCATAAAAAAATTGTGTGGATCCATAAACTTTTCAATAAGTTATAGCATTATAAAGTTAAATATAATATGAATAATAAAATCGAGAATTTTCACAC